ATACTTGGGACATATTGTTAGTGCGGACGGGGTGGCCACGGATCCGGAGAAAACTGCGTGTGTCCGTGATTGGGCAACCCCGGCCACGGTGGGTGATGTGCGTCGGTTTTTGGGGTTCGCCTCGTATTATCGGAGGTTTGTTCCGAATTTTGCTACTATCGCGAGGCCTTTGCATCTCCTTACTGGGAAGGGACACAAATTTGCTTGGGGACCGCCGGAGGAGGCGGCGTTTCGGAGCCTGCGCGATTTACTGGCTACTGCACCGACGTTGGATTATCCGGATTTTGAACATCCTTTCATTCTGGATACGGATGCAAGTGACACTGGTATTGGGGCGGTGTTGTCCCAGTCGAAAGGTGGAGTTGAGCGCGTGGTGGCGTATGGGAGTCGGGTTTTGTCTCCCGCGGAAACCCGCTACTGCGTCACTCGCAGGGAACTTTTGGCCATTGTTTTTTTTCTCCGCCAATTTCGACCGTATCTGTACGGTCGGTCGTTTATTGTCCGCACGGACCATGCGGCCTTGCAGTATGCTCTTAAGATGGACCAGCCATCCGGACAATTGGCGAGGTGGCTGGACACGCTGCAAGAATTTTCCTTCCAAATTCACCATCGGAAGGGTGTGCGTCACGCTAATGCGGACGCACTTTCCAGGTTGCCGCAACAATCCCCTTGTGCGTGTGCGTCGGGGACGCATAGGTGTGGACCGATTCAGCTCCCCCCTCAGCCTGTCGCGCTGGCGGTGGATGTTCTTGAAACTCCGCTTACACCGGGACCGGTTGATGGGGGACCGGCTGATGGGATTTTGCGTCTCCCGCGGTCTGTGTGGATTCGGGAGCAAATGTTGGACGATTCCTTGGTGACGTTACGAAAACAAACGGAGAAGGCAAGTAAGGGACTCGGTGCGGGTGGTGTACCGGAAACTGCTCTCCGAGATGGGTTGCTGATGTGGAGGGAAGGGATACAGGAACACTGGCGTCTCGTTGTACCTGCGTAATTGCGGTACGAATTGATTAGATCTCTGCATTGTGACACACTTTTACATCTGGGGGTGCAGAAAACCCTATTGACGCTGCAGCGAGACTACTATTGGCACGGCATGACGACAGATGTCGTCGGTCACGTTCGCGCGTGTCCCGATTGTGCCCGCCGTAAGCCGCCTAAACATCCATATGTTCCGCCGATACAATCGATTCAAGTATCTCGAGTTAATGAGCTGGTGGCGTTAGATATTTTGGGACCCTTTCCGCCATCCGCTAAGGGAAATAAGTATTTACTGGTGGGGGTGGAGTACCTCTCCCGCTGGCCGATGGCCTGGCCTTTGCCTGACCAGTTAGCGGCGTCTATCACTGACGCCTTTCTATTTGGGTATGTAATGGACAAGGGGGCGCCGGAGAGGCTCCTTACAGATCAAGGCCGTAACTTTTCGTCCAAATTGTTGGGGGAGGTGTGTGCGGCTCTTGGAACTAAAAAGATACGGACATCCCCCTACCACCCACAAACGGATGGTATGGTGGAACGGTTAAATCGGACCCTGTCCGCCATGCTGTGCCATACAGTCGGGGAAAATCAATCTGATTGGGATTTGCATATCCCTGGGGTGCTTTCGGCGTATCGCATGACGCCGCACGCGGCTACTGGATACTCGCCGTTCTTTCTTATGTACGGCCGTGAAAATGTGCCGCCAATTAATGAGCAGTTGGGAACCGGTGCGAGGGGACCTGTTAAGCCTCTTCCTGAGTATATTCAGGACAACGTTCGCCGTGTTACTGAGGCGAGGGAAAGAGCCCGCATGGCTACGGCCAAAGCCCAGGCCAGGAATGAGCGGTGTGCCCGACGTTCAAAGGGGGAGTGCCCCTGGAAAACGGGGGACCTGGCCTGGCTCCATTGCCCACAGGTGCGGCCAGGTACCTCTCCTAAATTATATAAACCGTGGCAAGGATCGGTCCGCCTCATTGAGGTTCCCAACCCACAGTCGGCGCGTGTTCGGGTTGGTTCGCGGCGCTGGTTCGTGCATACATCCCGGTTGAAGCCGTATATTGCCCCGCGACCGGATGCGTCATCTCCCGAGGTTGCCTTGCCGGGGTCTGTTGCTGCCGACTCGCCCTTGCCTGTGCCTGCTGACCTTGCAAGAGCGCCTGTCGTACCCTTTACAGACAAGCCGGCCGTGACGCCGCACGAGGGAGGACGTTCCGCTCGTGGGATGCCGACCGGACCCGCAGAACCTACGGGACCTGCAGCTCTTCCTATCCCTCCGCGGACGCGATTACGGGACGTCTCTGAACGCGACCGGGACGGTGGCGGGCCTCCAATGGCGACGGATGAACTTGCTCCCGTCGCCCTTAAAACCCTGCCACGTTCCCGCTCGGCGGGTGGGCTGCCGACCATCCGGGACGGCCCGGCTACCCGTACTCGCTCGAAATCCCTCACGTTTCGTTAAATTGTGTTGTGTTCTTGTTATATTGTTGTTGCATGCTTCGTGTCTTTTTATGTGTTGGTCCTTTACACCCGCATTGCTTGTCAAGTTGTATTTCAGCCGAGGTCGGCTGGATTTTCTCTACGGGGGAGGGTGATGTAATGCGGGCGTAAACGGCCCTCCGGAAGTGACGTCATGAGGGGAGGAGTTAGGTCACGTGGGGGAGAGGGGTTAAGCTATAGAGGGAGGGGAACCGGAAGAGGATGGGGAGTGACGGGGGACCAGGAACGAGAGAGGCCACGAAGGGCGAAAGCGGAGGGTGGCGAGATCGCCACGGACACGAGGGAGCGAGGATCGGCACCGTCGGCCAGCGGTGACCGACCCGAAGCAGCGAGGAGGCTGCAGTCAGCAGCGGGGCTGCATACGGAGTCAGCAGCGGGTCTGCACACGGAGTAGCAGCCAAGAGGGTCTGCATATAGAGTAAGCAGCGGGGATCTGCATAGGGAGTCAGCAGCGAGTCTGCAGGGAGAGGACGGAGGTTACAATAGAGAAAGGAGAGAGTCTGCGGGGAGAGGAAGGAGGCTACAATAGCGATAGCAGCCGGGGGCTACAAATACAGTGTCTATAAGAGAGTGCCGTGTGGGAGAAGACAAGAACCCAATAAAGGACACGAAGCAGAGAGAGAAGCGTCTGAGTCCTTTTATTACAATACTCTACCAGGCCATACTAATCCTGTAGCTGCCAGAGCGGTTAAAATTATTTGTATTTCTCTCAATTTCAAAAGATTCTAGAATTAGTCTCGTCCAGTAATAATTCGTTTAACACAACACTTCAACTTTGTCAAAAGCCATTGAGTGTCCTTGTTGGCAAGCATGTTCTGCAGTTGTGTTTGAGTATTTAATATTTCTTTGGTGTTCTTTTAGTCTTGCGCTGTTACCTCCCGTTTGTCCAATATAGCATCTGCCACATAAGAAATGTATCTGATACACACCGTAGGCGATTAGTCTTTAGAACAAGATACTAGTTTTATAATTTTTTGTACCATGCCAAATCTTACTCTGATTTTTTGTTTTTCCAAAACCCTAGCGAATGTGTCCGTTACTCCTGCAATTTTTTATATATTGTTTAATAACCCGATTGCTTTCAGCAGTATTGCTGTTCGATCTATGTTTAGCATTCAATGCTCTGTTAATTTTTGCATTATTGTAGCCATTTAATCGTAGTGCTTCTTTAACATGATTAATCTCTCTCCTCAGACATTCACCATTTGACACTGTTTTAGCACGATATATGAGCGTCTTGATGAGAGAAGATTTCTGTGCGAGGTGATGATGCGAATCTGAATTCAGAATATGCTGGCCAACAAGGACACTCAATTGATTTAATAACGTTGAAGTGTTGTGTTAAACTAATTATTACTGGCCGAGACTTATTCGAGAATCTATTGAAATGGGCTGAGAGAGCGCACCTACGAATAATCTCACTTGCCGTTGGTGGAGGGAGACGAATGACGTCAGACGTATCTCCCGACGTGGAAGGTGAGAGGTCAGGTGTGACGAGGGACGGAAGGAGAGAAGTGATTGGATGGAGAGAAACGGGGACGATAGAACGGGAAAGAGAGAGGAGAAAAGGATCGGTGGCCCAGGTCACTTTTGATGGTGTAAGTTGACATGAACGCACGCTGCAGAAGATAAAATCGTCTCACACCTTTTCAACAACCAATGTGTTGGAGACGTTACATATGTACATTCATTGTAATTCCCTGTTAATGATGGTAATTGCTTTGATGTGAATATTGAACTTTAATCATATTTGTTGTGTCGTTACTTCCTTTACAAATTGCGCTATTACAGTCTACGACACTTGAAAAGTGAAACGTTTCAATTCAAGAGCTTCCTGTTCAAATTATCAACCACGGGCCTGTCGTCCTTCAAGGTCAATACAATGAGTACAACTCAGGAGAAAGTCAGCTGTAATTGTCTAAGAGAGATAATCACCTCTCAAAGTAATGTGCCATTTCAATTCTAGATTTATGGCCGAAAAATGTTGGAAGCAACCCACAATTGTGTGAGCAGGGAAACGTTTGACTTTACTTGGAACACTACTTAGGCCAGCGATTTAAAATAAAGCTGCTCTCTGTGTATGTTTCAGTGTATATATATATGAAAAAGCCAAGGTAATTTCCACAACCCTAAGCTGGCAAAATAACAGTAAGGACTTAGAGACGGGTCCTGAACTGGGTAAACGTCAGCTACCGAGTTTGTTGAAGCCAGCTCGAGACCCTACATGGCGCGTGTGTGCGATATTACCGCGTCTGGATACATGTACAAAACTCGTCTATAAATCAGCTAAATGCTGCAAAACAGGTAATCTGCCATGCACTGCAATTTTGAATTTTAAATATATCCATTATATTTATTCTAAAAGCAGGAATTGCAAAATAAAAACATTAAATGGTGGGCCATTGTTTTCAATTGTGGTGACATTTTTTTAAAAGAGTTGTGTAGTCACTAAACTGTTTTGTAACAATGTTTAGGAAATGCATTTTCCCATCAAATAGTAAATTTGTAATATGAGCAATTCTTACCTGTTGTTTTCCACCTCCAGAGAAAGATGATGATGACGATGCAGACGATTATCGCCATTCCAATTAATGCCCCACGAAATGCAACTAAAAAGCACCGCCACAGAAAAGATAATGAGAAACGCATTAAAGGGAATCCATTATTAGCGGTTATACAGAACATGTACAATTTAAAACACACGAATGTAATTTTACTCGGAAAAACATTATTAAGCGATTAAACCCTTCTTTTATTTTGAGATTAAGATTGCTAGTCAGAAAAAAAAGTTAAAGAATTATACTTTTATATTATTGTTGTATCCTTTTCTAACCGTTTCATGGGGATATGGATGTTGATGCTTGGTACGAGTCTCTTAAATCACCTTTCTGTCACCCCCCCTACCCCCATACTTCTTTGCATCCTGATTCAAGTTTACCTCATTGCACCTGGTAAACCCATTGGTTAGCTCTTCTACTCTAGGTTTCCCAGCAATGGTGGTCCTCCTCTTGGAAACCCCTATGCTATGATGTTCATCAAGGTTATAAACTTGGGACACTTCTCTTCCACAGTCATGTTCTCTCACGCGTTAATATAATTGAATGTGAAGCAAAAACCATAATTTATATGCCAATTACACACGGCAGTATATGAATATTTATCTAGTCGACTGATATTTTCCTCAAACCGGGGTCCACTGAATAGCTGCCATTGCTATTCAGTGGCCTAAAATAAAATGTTTCGCTCCGGATGATCGCTACAAAGTTTGACCTGTGTTTTGATTTAGTGTGCTGATCTTAAAGGTGCATTGAAAAATAATAATACTCCGATTGATGCTCCTGCTGTTGTGGAGTGACTCATGCAGCCAGCTATGGCTGCAGGATTTTGGTAGTACATGTTGCTTATGCCATTTATTGTGAAAATTCCGTCAGTTCCTATGATCACTGTTTCATTGCTTTCATGGCTTTATTTTGGTGATTTCGAAAAGTGTATTGGTTTAGCCATGTTTGTTTGTTGTAGTACAGAGTTAGACTGATGGCCTTAATCTAAGTTGTCTTGTGGTTAAATTTTGATTTAAAGCTTTCGTGACTGCAGGGATTCATCTTCTTGGTTCTTTCGGTAAAGTCACGTAGAAAGGAAAATATTAAAATAATAAAAATAAACATAATAAAATACAATTGTCATGACGTTTCGGCCACAACGCAAGCAGCCGTCCTCAGGTGAAGAACAGGTATGTCGTAAAGACAGACCTGAGGACGGCTGCTTGCGTTGTGGCCGAAACGTCATGAGAATTGTATTTTATTATGTAAAATTTTTATTATTTTATTATTTCCCTTCTACGTGACTTTACCGAAAGAACCAAGAAGATGTCTTGTGGTTGTTGTTGTTGTTTGACTTGCATCCCACTGGGATTTTTGCACACAGCGTTGGTGTATGTGTTTTTTCTTGCAATATGTTGTTGTCTCTTCTTGGATTTTCTGTTTGCACTCAGTCACATTCACTTTAAGATGTTTTTTGTTCATGTTTTTGTTTGTTGGGGTTGCACCCGATTCAAGAGCCGAATGGCTCACAGGGCTATACCTAATAAATTAACTTGAACTTGGTAAGAAGTGTGTCCTAAGTCATTGTCTTCTTAATACATTCTCAAGAAGGTTAGTGTTTGTAGAAATGTATTCATCTTGATGAAAAGCAATAATCATCAGATTTTAAACAAATGTTTCCCACTTTTTTCTTAAATCCATTTTTGGCAGTTTTTTATGTTGTAAAGTGTCATTATCTGATGTACATGTTAGTGAAATTCTATCGCCGTCGCTACACTGACCCGACTATCTGCAGGTGAAAGGGGCCGGGTAGGAAGGTGTCGAGTCCGTTAAGGGAACAAAGTGGGAGAGTTCAGAGTCGTCGTGTCCCCACGTCCTACACAGTTTCCCTGCAGGTATCACACCCCGCCCACTGCCGATAAAGTAAGCAGGGATACGGCAGTTGTAGATAATGTTGGCCTCTCCCCAAATGCACATCCTACCCGAGGGGGGAATCCCCAGTTGACGCTTCATTCTCCTTAAACATCTCGCGACTAGTAAAATTACCCATTATCCAAGTACACCGGTATGTAAAGTTGCTTCCCTTATTTGTGAGGCCATTGATAATACTACTCTATTGAAAAAATAAGAATAGGATTTACCCTTTCTCACAATAAAACAGGTGTTAAGATTTTCCAATACCAAATAGAAACCATTTGAAAGGAATCATCTGCATTAACCACACGTACTTGTGGTGAAGAGTCATGTTTTTATTTAATGTTTCAACATCTTAACACCTGTTTTATTGCCAGAAAGTGTAAACCCTATTTTATTTTTCATATTTTTACACTGGTAAAAAAGTTCCCATTTAGTACTATTGTTTATGGTCTTATGGTTCATGGCATTGATACTATTATCATTGTTTTTGCAGTTGATAGAATATTGATGATTGTTTTTTACTTACTCTTATTGTATTTCTACTATTATATGTTTCGTGACTACCTTGGAGACGATAAGACTTGGAGTCACTTCTTTTTTTAACGAGCACCATCGGGGTTAACACATTTTATATTTAGTCCATCTATTATCAACGATACCACTTAGTTAGAACAGTTGATAGGCTGTCTGACTGGCGGCGCCCCGAGATGGTAAAGACGGAGACGACGGCGAGAAGAATGATGAAGACGATGAGAAGAACGGTGACGATGGACTTCAGCAGCACGATGGGGATCCACTCCAACAACAGCCCCGAGGTCCCCCACAGCGGCCCCTCTTATACTGTCAGCAAGGCCTCGCTCGGCCTTGGCCACGCCCCCTTTCTGGAACGTACTCGTGGGTTCCTGGTGAGCCCCTTCTGTGACCTTTCCCCTCGATCCCCCTCTCGTATATATCCTGGCATGCTGACGTCAGGACTGCCGTATGCCACAGATACACTTTTCTTCCAGCAGCCAGCGCTATTCCACTATATATTTAATGCGAGTTGTAATGTTCGTGACAGTATTGTCAGTAAACGTACTGCAAGCAAAATTACTCTTAAAGCATCCACTCAATTACAAGGAATTGAATAGAAATGTGTGTCCGCTCACTTCTCCTTCGAGGGTTTCTAAAGAAATATGCCACTTTTTTGTAAAACCTCCATCACGTGCAGAGTTTGCGATGCCCTCTTGGTGGGATGGACCATCAGAACAATTTGAGGAACATGCCATCCATAGATTGATTACAGGAGCTGGCATCTTTCAAATACCATTGTCTGGATGAGAATGATGCCCCTTCGATTACTCTAACATCATGGGATGTATATAACATGTAGTTTGCCCGATAAATCAGTGTTATTGACGAATGTGGAGTTTATTGGTCTTACGAAAGCGAACATACCTTCATTATTGTGTACACACTGTCCATTCGATCTGTAGTATCCTTCTTTACATTGGCAAACTGAGTTATATTCTCTCATACATTCTTGTGCAATCTCTTCTCCTGAAAAAAATGAAAATTAAAAAATGCACACGTTGTCTCAAAAGTGCACATTATTTATTGAGATTGAAGCAAAGCATTCACATCATTAATGCGTCATTGTTGCTGAGTGGCAATGCAGCAAACCTTCTTTGCATGCACAACTAAGGTGTAATAAACCTGTCAATATTACTAAAACGTGCAGTACAATTGCCAACATTGCTTTGATGTGCATGAACCACACGTGATTTGACTACCATAATTGCTAAAATATAAACAACAAAGAAAAGTTCAGTGTGAATCATCTTACTACCTGGCGGACGATGGCCTGCTGCCACAGAAATGGACTTCACTCATGTCACATTTTTTTTTTCTATGTAGTTATCTAGGAACATCTCCATTTCTAAATTAATTCTAATTTTAAATTACGTCATTGTGTATATCCAGATTTTATTAAGGGCGTGTGCACTATCCAATCTCTATATTGTACATCAAAAATATAATATGTAAACGTTCTTCAAATATTAAGTACCAACATACAAAGTCAAAACTCTAAGTATAAAATAGTCAATCTTTCAGTCCTCCTACTCTCAAGAAGGGTACATGCCTTAAACATGAAATCCACACTTGCTCACAAGCAAACCATCTGCTCCTACTGTGGTGTCAAATATAATAGATCTGTAACGGACATTGGACGTTAACAGCCCCTCTACATATGCAGAAACCATCAGCAATGTTTTTAATGACGTGCACTTTGCGCCTCCCGTCTTTTACGACTGTTTTTCATTCTGCCTTCAATAGTTCTATAAAATAAAGCTGGAGTGAGGATGCATCCTTGCCATATTCCAGATATAGTTGCAAATCTTGGAGACAGTCGAACCCATGCTCTCGTGTTAGTGTGGAGGTCCCGAAGCAAGTTCATGGGTGGTCCTGGGACGCCCTTCAGCGTCAGCGACACGGGTTTTCTGTCCACTGAACTAAGCGGGGACTTCAGGTCGATGTATGTACGTTGAACTTTTTTCGCAGATTTATGCCACATCAAGCGGGTGGTTACATTCTCGGTAAGGTTGGGTCAGCAGACTGACAGCGAGCACAGCATTAATCGTTGGACAACTAGCATTGAATATGGACGTATGTGGTCTTGCGACGTTTGCACAGGAATAGGATCAACCTGCTGAGCAGCACAACCTGCTGATCTGCTGAGCAACAAATGCCTCTCCTATATTAGAAGACCATGAAACTATATTTGAAAAATTGCATTTGCTCAAATAAATTTTGATAACGACCTGAGAGACCCACTATTCACTTCAGGAATTGGACCCACAATTCACGTCAGGAATTTCTGGTGGTTTTCCACATGTTCAGATGTGCTTTATTTATTTACACATGCTTGTGTGTTTGAAGCTCATCGTTTTTTTAGATTGAAGTATTATTCTGCTATAATGGGGTTTTGTTATTTGTTACGTATTTTATTGGTGAGTAGGCATCTCTTTAGACGCACGCGAATATATCAACACAATAATCATATATGCAGAGTAAATCCCAGACGTATGCCTACCGTGTATACTAAAGAAGGATATTCAGGGGAAATGTCGAGGTATTTTTTTCCAATCAGTAACTGTGGAAGAGCATGTTACTAGTTTTTTAATTCTAGATTTGAAGCTTTCGTGACTGCAAGGATTCATATTCATAGGTTTTTTCGGTAAAGTCACGTAGGTAAAACATTAAAATTAATAAAAGTAAAATAAAATAAAAATCACGACGTTTCGGAGGCAACACAAGCTTCCGTCTTCAGGTGGAACCGTCACAGCCACGACAGCTGTATCAAGTAAATGAGAGATTGCAGGAGCTACCACTCCGTTTATATAATGGTTGGAGGGGGGGGGAAGGGCCAAGTAAAGCACACTTTTTATTAATATGGTAAGGTGAGGCTTAAGACTAAGAATCGACTGCATAACAAAGGTTTACCATGTTTAATGGTTGTCTCCTTGTCACAGGTTGAGTCACAAACCGTACCTCTCCATAACAAAGGCTCAGCCTTTGTTATGCAGTCTATTCTTAGTCTTAAACCTCACCTTACCATATGAATAAAAAGTGTGCTTTACTTGCCCCCCCCCCCTCTCCAACCATTATATAAACGGAGTGGTAGCTCCTGCAATCTCTCACTTACTTGATACAGCTGTCGTGGCTGTGACGGTTCCACCTGAAGACGGAAGCTTGTGTTGCCTCCGAAACGTCGTGATTTTTATTTTATTTTACTTTTATTAATTTTAATGTTTTACCTACGTGACTTTACCGAAAAAACCTAAGAATATAGTTTTTTTATTATTTAATCCCTTGTTGAATATTGACTATTATTGAAGCAGTCACTTTATAACTTGCATGTGACTAATTATGCATGTCTATGTGTGTGGGTAATACTGTTAACCGTGTTCTAGGTAAGCGGATATGACATTATAGGACTGGAGTGGATGAGTGCTCTAGCAGTTGTTGAATGGTGTTTGTGGTTGTAGACACAAAATTCACCACTCCCTCCACAGTCCCACGTCCTCATAGTAACTGCGATGAAGAATAAATAGTTGGTTCCTAACCACGGCCATACAGTGCAAGCTGACAATATCTGGACCATACTCACTCTCTGGACAGGGGGTGCAGTCGAAGCAGGCAGATTCATTATTTGGCTTGTCAGTGTAAAATTTCCCTTTAATACAAGGAATACATTTACGGATTCCTCCATCAGTCAAACAGTCTGCTGCCTTGAATGTTCCTATAGGATGTGATACAATTAAAAATTAAAGGAGTTCAAAGCAACAGGTCAGAGTTATCACTACAATAATGCAGACTTACAGTGAAGCAATATCAATATAAACATTTGGCATGCACACTGACAGGCATTTTGTCAATTCACTGGTCGATGACGGTGTCCCCACACCATAAATATGTTTTTGACCATATTCTTAGTTCTTTCGGTAAAGTCACGTAGAAGGCAAATAATGAAATAATAAAAATTAAACGTAATACAATTTTCACGACGTTTCGGCCACAACGCAAGCAGCCGTCCTGAGAATTGTATTATGCTTTGTTTTTATTTTATTATTTCCCTTCTACGTGACTTTACCGAAAGAACCAAGAATATGAATCCCTGCAGTCACGAGAGCTTAAAATCGAAATTTATTTGACCATACTTCACCACGCCGGTCAGTGTGGGTTGGAGAACGAGCTTGGATGTGGGGCATAGAAGCACACTGTTCTCTGCTGCATAACCGGCATTGATCAGTGTGGTGAAGTATGGTTAAGCAAACTCCCTTTTCTGACAGTGCTTAACACGTAATTATGCTTTGAATAATTATGTGTTACGTGTTTACTCCGCCTTGGTCTCTCTCTCTGCCTTATTTTTGCGGGTTTTTTAGCATTGTCGATCCATGATGTCTGTAAAAAGGCCTGCAACTGTTAGTGATGGAAACGTGACCAAAGTGTCAAGGAAAAGTATAACTTTGGATGTTACAAAGCAAGTGATAAGGCGAGTCGAGGTGGCGAGCGTCAGATCCATGTGTGTCGCGAGCGTCAGATCCATGTGTGTCGTGAGCATCAGGGTGATGCATGGGTGTGTACAGTACATCATACTGATGTTATAAAATATATATTTACTGTTTAACATATGTTTTATTATTAGAGCTGTTACCGATAACTCAATAAAGTCATAACATATTGCTCATATATCAGAAATAACGCTGTTGGGAACGCATCCCCATATATGAAATGGTATAATAACCACTTTTAGCGCCAATTCGACTCGCGCTTACTTCTCCAGGAAGGCCTCTCGAGCGCTAATCAAGGTCTGCCTGTATTGTTATACTCTTGGCTTGTATTGAGTAGTTTGTGCTGTCAGTTAAATATGAATTTTAAAACAGCTTCTGATAATAGGACCGATACGACTGACCAATCATACGCTCTAACAGTGGAACAAAGTGCGAATCGAGTCCCAGCAATGGTGTCAGCTTTTGAAAAAACATTTTTTATCAAGTTGTACCTGCAGGGCAGAGACCGCAGCACACGTCGTCTTTAGTTTTGTAGCTGTCATTGGGACATTGTTTAGTTTCAGACCCTTCTGCACGCCGAACACCCTGAGAATACCGACAAGGAGCCATGTTTAGTGAAGCATTGACACAACAGATATGTGCCTGGAGGACATGGACGGTGACTATTTTAATGGTATTTCATTTCGCAGGAATATGAAAAACACCTCAGATTGCAGGGTCAAATTAGACAAATACTGCAGCGCCCCCAAATCAAGCAGTTAATACAATTCAAGCAAACATTAGTGTATATGTAATGTGAGGTTACACCTGGATCATAAATGGGTTACACCTGGGTGATTAATTGGTTACACCTGGATCATAAATGGATTACACCTGGGTGATTAATTGGTTACACCTGGATGATAATGATTGACTCTACCGGCCCCAGCCCACAACCAATGGGGAGTCGAGCCAGGGGCGTGGCCCTGATGTAATGCGAAGGTTACACCTGGAAGAGGATGATTGGCTGCGAGGCATCACGTGGGCCAGGGATTAAAAGGGGTGGAGACGGACAGCACGGGGTCAGAGCTGGGAGGAACGAAGGCGAAGCCACGCTGGTGCCGTGGTCCGGAGCATGGCACGTGGCGGGCCGAAGCAGTCTCTCCCTCTCTCTCTCCCTCTCTCTCTCCCTCTCACGCGGTCTGCCAGCAGCGTGAAGGAGCAATAGTGCAAGAGGAACGAGTATAGGGAGAGCTGTGACAGAACTTAATAAAGAATACTGCATTTCAGAAGTTGTCTCAACGACCTTTATTACATATATATTACTAATAACTAAATTGTATTTATACATGGATTTTGTATGCACCTTTATGGATATCCCATCTTAATTAATCACGTGCAATGGTGGCCAACAACTTCAATGCAATTTCCGTTATACCATGCTGAGAATGCAAGATTTGTAGTCTAGCAAAAGTAATATTATACAGAAAGCTAATATTTAATATTTTCGAAATGCAATTGTGTTTCCACTGTAGCTACCGTTGAAGCGGATTTATATGAAACTACCACTGCTCCCACATTTGCGATGAATTTAATTTGAGTTAACATGTAAGTGATCTGGATGTCTCAAACTCGACACACATGTGTTCAATGATGTATGTGTAGTGGTGATACGCGCTGACAGTAGGGATCGTGTGGCAGCGCGTGGTGATTGGCTGTGTGTCGGTGACGCGCGCTGACGGTGAGGGATCATAGGGCAGCGCGGGGTCATGGGTTATGTGGGGGTGATTGGCTGTGTGTTGGTGACGCGCGCTGACGGGGAGTGGTCGTGTGGCAGCGCGGGGCGATTGGTTGTGTGGTGGTAACACGCGCTGGGAAAAACGGATCGTAGGAACAGCGCGTCGTGATTGGTCGACTAGTGGGTGCTCACATCGCGGTCCGCATAGACTCCGTCTCCTCGGGAGCGAAGGGCTATATAAAGCGGTGCGCGCGGGCGCTCGGGGAGTTGGTGACCAGTGAAGACAGAAGACGGAGAAGGAAGAGGTAGGGCCCTGAGACCCCTAGTCCCGCTGTCCTTGTAAGGGCCGGGACCCTGTGCGGCTCAGAGGCGGGACCTTGGGACCCGAGGCCGGACGTCTGTGTGAGGGCCGGGCCACGGGACCCAATGGTCGTGACCCATACCCAAGCTGGGGTGGGTCTGTAGGTTCCCCTGGGAGCTACGGGGCTGGAGAGCCCGTGTGTGTGTAGCCAGGTGGAACGCGTAGCGTGAGCTGTAGTGTCCACACGTGTTATTGTGGCTAAGGAAGAGCTGTAGTGTCCACACGTGTTATTGTGGCTAAGGAAGAGCTGTAGTGTCCACACGTGTTATTGTGGCTAAGGAAGAGCTGTAGTTGTCCACACGTGTCATTGTGCCAAGAGAAGAGTTAATAAAGTGTGCTACCCGTCAAGTGGTCTCCCGCTGTAATTTACAATACTACAACTGGCATCAGGAGTGAAACAGTCTTCCTGCCATGGATACCAGGAAGACTCATCGGACTCACGAGCGTGACCGGGAGGAAAACCACGACGACTCGGGCCAGCAGGCATCAGGGGGAGAAGAGAAGGAGATGCCGGCGCCACAGGAACCCTCATGGGCGCCCAACGAGCGACTGGGGGCTGATGCCGGACTCCGCGACGCGCACTCCCGCCTGGCAGAACTACTACTCGCCGCGGCGTCCATCCTAGCGGAGATCACCGCGTCTGGAGGAGCGAGAACGTCGACGGACATTGAAAGGGCTCGCGTTGCTGATTCCCGCCAAAATAACTTTGAAATTCCCGCCATTTCTGCTGAGCGGCCATCTTTTGGCGGGAACTGCGAGCAACACGTGGCGGGGGTCCTCCAATCTCTGCCGCTCGCGTCATCATCGCGCGCTACGGGCTGCCATCAGCCACCCGCCACAGGGGCCGCCATTTTGCATGTCGACGGGGCGGCGCGGGAGAGTCACGAGGCGGAGGACGATATTTTTTTCCAGCAGCGTCTTCCCGCCTTGACAGCCTTCAAAGCGGAAGGGGGTGACTAGGGCGCATTCCAGCGAAGATTACTCGCACATCAAGAGATGTCGGCCTGGTCCGACGCTACGGCGCTGCGGGCTCTGCCTGCCATGTTGGACGACGACGTGCTCGCGGCCTTCGGGGCCGCACCGAGATCGGCCCGCTCCACGCTCAAGGCTGCGCTGGGCCTCATGGCCAAGGTGTACGGCCCACCATCGGCCTGCCGCCACCAATTTTACGAACGACAGAAGGCGGACACGGAGACCGCGCTCGCCTACCGCACGGCGTTGTTGGCCCTCGCGGACGCCGCGTTCCCTCGTATGGACGAGGAGGGGCAGGACGCTATGGTTTTGGAACAACTGCTGAAGTTGGCGCACGACCTGGGGGTCCCCATCAACACAGCCGACGAAGTCGACATATGTTCGTTGCGTGTCGCAACGAGTATCCAGGCGCATGAGGTCCTGAAGCGGAAACAGGTGGTCGTCTGCACTGCTGCCGCGGTCTCAGCTCCGGCCACGGTGGTCACCGAGGCCCAGGTCGTTCACCCACGGGAGGAGGCGTTCGCTGCAGCACGATCGGAGGATTGGAGGTCGGGGGGTCGTTCGCCTCTGCGATCGGCCCGCAAGCTGGAGCAACCGAGACCTCCGACGTCCCTCATCACGTGCTACAACTGCGGCCTTCGGGGCCACGTGGCGTCTGGGTGCCGCGCTCCACGTCAGCGTGCCACGGGATCTCGGCTGGACGACGACCAAGGCCCCAAGTCGTCCCAACTACCCCCGGCAAGTCGTGGCACTTCACATGCTCGGCTTAGATACACGACACACATGGGCCGTCGCTTTGCGGCGGAGGATGGCCGATTGGGGGTCGGGGATTCGGTTCGGAGAGGGGGGTTCGTACGGAGCCGGGGGGACGTTAAATGGTCTGAGTTGGGCCACAGAATAGTGGCTGCGTCGGCGGGTTCCTCGGTCGTTACGGGATTCATAGACGGGGTCGAGGTCAGGGTGCTGGTGGACACGGGAGCGTCGGCGACTATAATTTCCGACCTCATTTATAACATTCTCCCCGTCCAATGTCGACCTCTGCTTCCGGTGGACGTGCCATTTTACGCTGCAAATGGGGGCTCATTGGGTATTATCGGTCAGATTCGGGCGACCATTTGCATAGGGAATATTAAATTGGCGGGACCTGTTTTCGTCTCCTCTTCCCTAGCGGTTCCTTGTCTGTTGGGCACGGATTTTTTGGCTAAGATGCCCATTAAAATTCTCGTGGATCAACGTTGTATTGAGCTGCCATCGGGTCGCCGTATTTCGTTTTTGTCTAATCCTACTGAAATACGGACGGCGTGCGCAACGATCCAAGCGCTAGCGACGCAGACGGTGCACGTGCCCCCGGGTTCGCAGATGTTGATACCCCTCCGGTTGCGGAAGCCATTGGGTGCAGAGACTGCGGGACAAGGCGTGCTTTTGGGTCCATCGAATAGAGCTGTCGGCGGTCTGGATTTGGCGGTGGCTCAAACGTTGGTTCGGGCCGACGAGGACCCGTTCGTTATGGTTTTAAACGCTGGTTCGCGGCCGGCCGTTATTCCGCAGGGCACCGTGCTTGCTCATGCGTCACGGGTCCCAGCGGAGGAGCGCCTTATTGCACATGTTGATCCCGTCCCGGCGCAGAAAATTCTACCGGGTGATGACCTTGGATGGGTCGATTCGCTGTGTGCGGACTCCACTGATTTATCAAGGGTGCAATTGGGTGCGCTGCGTGCTCTGCTCATCGAATTCTCCGATGTGTTCAGCAAGCATAAATATGATATTGGGTGCACGGACCTGTTACGCCACCACATTGAAACAGGTGACGCGGCACCAGTCCGGCAGAATCCCTTCCGGCTGAGTCCTGCCGAGAAGGAACACGTTCAATCGGCCGTCAATGACATGCTGACGGCCGACATCATTTCGCCCTCATCCAGTCCGTGGGGAGCACCTATCGTGCTTGTTAAGAAGCAAGACGGCTCCTTGCGTTTTTGTGTAGATTTCCGTCACCTTAAAATCTCTGTGGCTGACGCATATCCGCTCCCTAGGATGGATGAGTCCCTGGACGCATTGTCCAGGGCACGGTATTTTTCTACGCTTGACTTACTGTCGGGATTCTGGCAGTTGCCACTCGACGATGAGTCTAAACCTAAGACCGCATTCCGGACCCCAGGGGGCCTGTTCCAGTTCAACCGCTTGCCCATGGGGCTCCATTCCGCTCCCGCGACGTTTCAGCGCCTCATGGAATTGGTTTTGTCGGGGTTGCAATGGGATACTTGCTTAATTTACCTCGACGATGTAATTGTTTTCAGTAAAACTTTTGAGGAACACCTCCAGCGATTGAGAGGGGTGTTCTCGCGGATGCGATCGGCTAAGTTGAAGTTTAAACCGGCGAAATGCCACCTTTTGCGGAAATCCGTAAGGTACCTGGGCCACATTGTCGATTCTTCGTGGATCTCCACCGATCCCGCGAAGACGAACTGTGTCAGTTCATGGCCGACGCCCATGTCGGTTTCTGAGGTCCGCAGCTTCATTGGGTTTGCTTCCTACTAC